AACTGGTTCAGAATAACTTTTTTAAAATTATTTAAATTGTAATTCTGGCCTGTTTAGACATTAGTCTGTTTTGATAGTAGCTTAATTAATACATAATAGTTTATGATTTAATTTTGAAACATGAAAGCATTTTGAAACTGAAAGTTATGCAATATGCATACAAATAAGTATTTTTTGGTTCACCTTTGTTATATTTATTTACATTTAATTTTAAGTGTGGTAAACTGTATATTTAAATGACTGTGGAAATATAATAATTTGGATAGACAGCGCATGTTGTGCCACTAGATTCTACTGCAATAAAAATAAAAAAGGCTTCATAAAGGCAATTTTGAGACTTTCCGTATTTGCACTTGGTCAAAAGGTTTTATAAACTTCATCGACATCCTTCTATCTAACCACCTGCCTTTCTAGTTTCAAATTGATAATGTAACCCAAATTACACATTTTGTTATTAAAAAGTCCTTGCAGATTTTCTACATACTGTTGCTGCCAACTTTTCGTACTTTTCTTTAACTTTAAGTTAGCATGACAACACATAAGAGCTTAAAAGGGAAATGCAATGGAAACTGGGGACCGACTGAACAAACAAAACGTGGCTGTGAAGAGAAACCTGGGTTTCAGGGGGGTTAATCTACTGGGAGCAGGGCACTGATTAGAGATCCATCTGTCAAAGTATAGTAAGGTGGTCCTCTTCAAGACTCATGCCCTTGAATCCTCCATATCTATTTAAAGATCTTAAGACTAGCAGACTTTCTGTAGCAGTGGCATTGTGTTGACAAATCAGGTGGATTTACTGGACAGTAGATCTAAATCTAAATAGAATACTCTTTGTTGAATTATTGAAATCTGACCTATTTAGGGAACTGTCATTTTGGTATCCACGATTGACGGTGCAAATTACTAATATAACGTGTATAATAAGGCTATTGAATTTGATCTTGCTGTATGTCTTTATCATTACAGCACTGTGAGAAACATGTTCTATGTTTCTTTATAGATATAGATTGTTTATGTTTTTTCTTCATATTTTTGACACAGAGTTATCAGATTGACAACCAAATCCCAATACTCAACATACGGAACCTTAGTGAAAGAAATACTCTAAATATGTATAAAACATGTATGCTTTCGTAACAGTACTTGCCCTCTTAACAGGTGTCTTTATTGGAACAATTTTACTCATACATGCAAAATATATCTGTGTGAATGGGGACTTTTCATTTTTTAGCATGTAAGTGAGCCGAGAAAAATGTAGGATTCTAGCTCTCTGACTCAAATGTTTTAGTTTGCACCTCCATTTCTTTGTATTTGTCAATTTAAATGCATCAGGAAACGAAGGTCAGTGTAGAGCTCTGGCCCAGACATACATTTAAATACTGGTTCAGACATCTTCAGCTGTAATTGTTGGTCTATATAAATTGCTGTATAGAAATTGCTGTATAGATATTTTGTCTGACGCAGAATTGTCATTTATGGGATTATGATCATGAATAGCTTGTTCCAGATCGAGCTACCACATCTATATTGGTTCAGATCTGGACATTCATTTGGTAATTTGAAAACTTCACTTATGTTGCTTCAAAGCCATCCTGATGTCACAAAATGTGTGCTTGTGTGTTTTGTATGTGGTGTCAACATAAAACCCTCATGAATTCTCTGATAAAAGAGGAGAAAGTATTGTTTTCTCAACCATGGCTAGTTGCCCTGGTCCGGGGGCAGTAAAGCATCTTCAAGAAATCAAACCACCATTTTCAGGACACATAAGATTGCATCATTCCTTTAGGGTAATTTCCGCTTAAGAGCAGTTTCCCTTTGAGAGGGTGTTGTAAGCGTGAATATTATTCCTGAGAAACGGTTGCTAATGCTAATGCCTTATAATGGAGACCCTGATGTGTGATAATGGATCTCCCAGTTCACACATACTGACTGAATAATGAAGATACCTACTAAAGATGTTCAGCAACCGTCTTGCACTCTAATTAGTAGTGGGGCATGGGAGACTCATGGTGGTGGTGGTGGTGGTGGTGGTGGTGTGTTTCACTGAATGTAAAATATAATTACAAATCAGACTGTGTGTCCTTATGGATTCAAGTGAATCGGAACCGTATAATTGCATGAACACCATGTAAATGGCTTTCACATTAGAATGTTAACATTTAGAGAAAATAAAACACGGCGGCAACGTGTTTGTTCGACCATGTAGAGGTGGTTCCAGTGTTCCAGTGTTTCTTTGGGACGAGCACACAACGGGCGATTTCCGCAAGGTGCGCTAATCCAAAGGTTAGCAATGGGTTAACTGGGACATGCCTATCTCATGTTTTTTGTTAACAATTTTTTCCTCTCAACTTTCAATATTCTCTTCTCCAGTTTGAAAGTAATTTGCAACTTGTTCTAAGACCCAAGGAGTGTTATAGTAAATTATTTTTCCCTCTGTAGGACTAAGATTTAAATGTGTGAAGGCCGAGGTCACGTGCAGTCTGGGTAATCAAGAGGTTTACACATTCGGATCCGGTAACTGCCAATGCCAAATTCATTATTCATTTCTAGGGAACGTACTGTACACATGAAATGAGTCTAACGGATTACAACATTAATAAATTAAGCAAAACATCTAATAAATAGCTAAATAACAAAAATTATCTGTCTCTGTTACTGTCTGGGCAATAATGACGTTTAAATCAACAAGTGCTGTGATCAACTACGTTCTTATTGTCATATGTCTTCTACCGTTGTGGAGAATCCTTGTTACGGAAATATGTTGAAACAGCTGGTTGGCCCACCCAAAACGTGTCCAAAACATAATAGTTTGGATGTTGAAGCATAGTTTGGATGGTGAAATGTGGATGTAATGGTTGCACTAACATTCTACTTAAATTTTTAACTGATATTTAATCCACTTGCTGTTGGTTGGATTAGGACTACTGTATTGGAGTGGTATATTTACATGCTAAGTATGATGTAATGCCGCTCATAAGAGCAGCATATGGATCATGAGGAGGCCCAAAAATCACGCAAGTTCCCTGTGTTTGGGCTTGTCTTTGTGTGGAATTGTTGCATGTCACGTGACTTTTGCTTGTTAACCTCATTGAAGAGAGTTCTACCTCTTGTCAAGGTACAAGGAGGATCTTTGATTATATGCGCTGTGTCACATCTTCTATATTTAATCTGAAGCATATTCATGCGCTGATTCTGTGGACTTTGTAAACTGTAATTAAAATCACCACAAACACATGCTGCCTGGCCTGGCGTCCCTCCTTCCGTCGACTTACCCTCGTGACACCAGCGCTACTGGCATCTATAGTCTATACAATGCTGGTAGTTGTTTTTATAACGACCAACACAGGGCAGTGAATTTTTGGAAAATATTTTATTTCAAAGCTAAATAATATTTTTTTTTTGAGGTGCACTAGCTGAAATTCACGATGAATGTAGGAGAAAAGCAGCCCCATAGCACGATGCTGACAACATCTATATTGGCAGTAGGTACTTTGTGCTTTTGGTAATGAGTCATCTTGGCTTTTGTGCCAATGTATTTGGATGTAATGGAATTAAGGCCAAAAATGTTCGGAACCCATTTTCCCACATGGTTTTGGCAAAATGTAAAATGTATAGATGCTTACATTTTATTTGAATTTTTTTTCGAAATTGCTAACATTTTGATATTTTACGAATCAGGGAATGCTCCATTCCTCTCAATCAGCCATTCCTGCGTCTCATTTGTGGTTGTTGTTGTTGGTTTCTTGTTGGCTCCCCCGGAAGCAGATTTTGATTTTAGGACGATCAAAATTACTTCCATTGATGTCAGGTGACGACAAAGTCCCTTGAAACGTGATTCGAAATGTGATTTTGTACACAGAGTATGAACACGTGTATAATTCCCATTATAATGGCCGCGCTCTCTTATCCAACCATGGCATTGATTGTTTTTTCTTTGTTATTTGCCCAACAAATTTTTGCTTTTTTTCTCACATCGATATCTTGATATTTTTAAAGGGGAAAAACATTTCTGTCATGATTTTTCTTCGTTGTATCTCACAACACATATGTTGTCGTTACGAATGTTCATATCATTGTCAGCAGAAGAAACATGATGTATAGCACCACACCCTTATACGTTACAAAACGTGCAGATAAGACCACATACATGTTCATATTTGGTCATTCCACTTCTCTGGGCGACTGATTGCAGGACTTTTCATTTGTGAAAAGTCCCTCTTGAATATTGATTCATTTGTTTTTCATCAGAATCCTACAATCAGTTACTCTTGATGCAAAGTGCAAATGGTAAAGTAGGCTAGAGGATTACTGAAGCAGGGGTGGATAGACAGACTGACAGAAAGACAAATGAGTCCAGCGTGGTTTCTTGACACTGTGCTTTATTTTTTAAACCTGGCATAGATGGCAAAATTTAAGACCAAGTTAGTGCCTGTTATTTTTAGATTGCCATTTTTAAAGAGCTGTCATTTGCTAGGATTAGGATGTGTGTCTATGTTTGTGTGTGTGTGTTTTGCCTGTGTGTGTGTGTGTGTGTGTCTAGGTGGCTGACCCAGAGTAATCAGATTGATGTTCCTGCATTCGATTGTTCTGGTCTGAGAGACTGCATACCTCTGTCCTAATTTCCATGTGCTATGTGCTCAATTTGCATAGTGTTAATGCTAGTGTTATTGTTGCTGTTGTAAGATGTTGTTTTTTCCACCATGTTGGTTGGTTGCATTGTGGCAATCTCAGGTGATGGATCAGCTTCTGTACGTTAATATTGAAATACGTGTTGTGCCTATCACATTAAATATCTCAGCACATACCACATTCCTGATTTGTCTACATTTTCGTTGATAATGTTTTCATCCATTGAGATTTTACATATGCAAAAGTATTTGCTCAATGGTGGCACTACCACAAGTCATTCATAATGCTTTTATTTCAAATGTATTATTAATTTAACCTTTATTTAACCAGGTAGGCCAATTGAGAACAACTTCTCATTTGCAACAGCGACCTGGGCCGAAGCTGTGGATTGAACCCAGAACATCATACGTACAACGCATGCGCTCTACCACTGAGCTTCCAACTCTTCCAATTTTGCACGGTCCGATCGATCAATCAATCGATCAAGTGTATTTTACAAAGCCCTTTTTACAACAAAGTTGTCACAAAGTGCTTTTAATAACACCCAGCCTGAATCCGACAGAGCACCCATCAACAAGTCGATCCCGTTGCCCTTTGTGCTAAACTGGTGAAATTTGGCGCATTGCTCCCTCGCCTCACAAATAACAAATATAAAACAAGAACCCGTACTGTCCAACGTGATGTTGCCTTTCTCCATTAGGAATTCTGTGGAAATTATTTCACCATGCCATTCCTCACGCCACAGAATAAACAGCAAAAGCAAAACTTCATGTGTTTCATCCGTGTACAAATATGGTAATGGATATTATGTAATACTTATCTTCTTTATTACTACCTAAAATACAACTACGAACTATTGCCCGAATTGCATTATTGTGGGCATGCGCAGGTAAAAACAACGGTATTTGTACATTAACCCACGTGCCCATGTATATTAATATGAATGGTCTACTCAAACAAAATTGTCAGGAGCATACATAATGAACATACTGTGGTCCTATAAGAGTGTTTATATCTGTTATATCTGTTTGAATCAAAGGGATGGTATTTGGCACACACGCTCAGGAATAGTGTCACAACCCATGCACATCTCACCAACTAACGGCGTGATTTTGACTAAACCTGGATCAATTTGTATTGTCATAAGGAACCACTATATGCAAAATTACACTGATTGGCCCGAGGGGACAGTTCATCACTCATGTAGGATGACATGTTTACTGTTGCCTTGTGTCTTATTAGATTCCTACTAGCGATGGGTTTACTATGTGTTGCCTTGCCTCTCTCCATCAGCTCTTACCCAGATGTAATTATGCTAATTGTTGTTTGATCAGATGATTAAATTACAATTTGATTAATCCGGGGTACTAAATGCCCTAAATAAATGTGTGTCTGTTTGGCTGGCTGGCTTTACAGAGCTAATGTCCTCTCAACCAGCAAACACACGGGAGAAAGAAACAACCGGAGAGAAGAAACATTTTTTATTAGAGGAATGAAGGCATGATGTGCTGTGATGAAAGGGGATGACAAAGGGAAGCAGAGGATTGATTTAATAAAGCAAGGAGGAGGCAGGCTGGCTGTGGGTTTGTGTAGGGGACACTTGCATTGTGTTGAACACAGTTTAGTTTACATAGTGGATATGATAAATGTATACACGCACACAGTTGCTTTCGGTCTGGCTATTCTAATATCTTTGTTTCTGCTTACTACTTACAGACATTGTAAATTCTGCACATGTGCAGTAATTTTCAGGCTGCTACTCCTTCCTCGACCCCTGACCCCGCATGAACGGAATGTGCAGTCACTTCACGGGGTCTGCTACCTCCTCTGTCTTTGGAAATCTTATCAAGGTCAAGGAGCGCAGACTGTGCCTCATTGGATGATTGTTAATAGACTGATGTAGCGGTCAGTCTTAACTTGCAGCATCGTTCAAAACACAGGGTTTCATTGATTGTATATTTCAAAATCATAACTTCATGCAATGTTGTTTTAATTTACCTTTACCTGTTTAGCAGACTTTTACACGGTGGATGTTGTATTTAGGGAGAACTCCTTGGTGAGAATACAAAGACATTTTCTAATGTCTCAAAATGTACCTTAGAAAGAGCTGGTTGGCGAGTGAATGATTTTATTCAATATGAATTCAATTACATTTAGTTCGTTTTTTAAATGTGTGCTAGAACACCGTTTCTAATTCAATTGTGCATCTCATCAACTCATACAGCTGTATATTTTACAACATGTTTTACACCATTTCCTATTATGAGCAAGTTTAATCACACTATACTTCAACAGTTAACTGCACTTCATTCCTACAGTCCAATTTGAGAATATGTCTTCCTGAGCTAAATTGTTTCTGCACAGCTTTGATCTACTTGGACGCCAGTCAGTCAAGATGGTCTAGCATACTGGCATTATCCCTGTAGGTTTAAGAAGTGGTTTAGTTTAGTCTACACGCACCAACTTCCCAAGTACTTCACTCTGCCGCTCAGAGGCTTTCAATAGGATTAGCTTCAGTGTGCCATAAATACACCATGCTGTTTTCATTTCTGTTCATTTGATTATGGAAAGTCAACCGAACATGAATGTTTTACCAAGCCTGCTAATTTCTTTACAAAATTGTCAAGAAACCTTAGTATTCAATTTTCGGCGGGACCTGCAGTCGCATTGTACATATTGAATAAACCTTGAATAGACCTAGACCTAAAACAAAGAGTAATAAAAAAAATGGTATTCTTGGTGATATTAGTTGTAAATATACCGGCTTCTCTCATCTATTTGATTGAATTTTCAAATAGTTGGATCAGTAAATACTTAAAAAACCTCCTGAAGATAATGTTTACCCGAGATCAGTATTGCTTTGCCCTATTGAACTGTCCCTATTGAACTGTTGCAGTAGCAGAGGAACCCGATATAGTTTGTTATCGTGCCCCGTCAGATTCCCAAACTCTCGTTTGTTCATCAGCAGCATAATTCAGACATCAATGTCTTGAGCGCTCACTACTGAATAATGTTGCTCGCTTCGTTCCCTATTAATGAGACGTTTACTCTCTCGCATGAAAATAAAACCAGATCAAGAGAGGTGCGCTTAACCACATCCTACCCCTCTGACATCAGAGGACCGATCTGTTTTTGCATATCACCAGTGAGTAGAGCGGAGCAGACAGCAGCCCCTTTCTTCTGTCATGTCCTGGTTAATATTTATGAAAGCAAATTGGAAGACTGTCATTTGGCAAGTTCCTGTGCATGCCCTGTGTATAGCCTCTGGGCAGGAATGGGTAAATGCTTACTCACATTGGTTAACCCCCTCGTTACCTCTATTTCCTCTAGGTTCCCTCTGTCCCTGCATAAGGTCCCAGGCCCCCCCCCCAGGCGCAGCACAGTGGGCTGTTTTAATTACCCAGGATTGCTAGCTGATAGAGTCTGTCACTATGCAGCACAGCCCAACCTACCACGTACAGTTTGCCCACTGACAGTCAATGGTGTGTCCCATAAAATTCCTAGTCCATCAATCCACCTTCCCATTCTCTCTGGATCTCAATTTTTTCCCTGTCGCTTATTCCCGCTCTTTTGATTTATTACTGTCTGTCTGTTGAGTTCATGATAAAACAATGGGCGAACCATGGAATATAACCTTCAGATGAAAAACGATTCAAACATACAATTTCAACAGTAAGCATTCAAGCAAAAGTGGTAAATAATCCTAACATGGCGTTATTTATTTAACAGGGACAGTGAGGGGTTAAAGGTGGCAGATATTTGTGGTTTATTTTTCCCATATGCATTGATTGCACTTTGACTTAAATTAAGAGCATCGGTCCGGATAGCACACTGAGAGGGCTGGTTATACACTGTCTGTTAGCTGGTGAAATTGACTGCCTGTAAAATGTTATACAATCTGAGCTGTGGTTTTTGTGTTGTGCTCGCCATTGTTTGAGACTGCAAAGTCCTCCATACTGGATGGGTGTCATTACAATCATGACAAACAATTCAGAGAAACAGAGAAACAAATGTGCATTTACTTCAGAATATAACATCGTTTTCAAATGCAAGTATCAGGTGTTGCCAGAATCACAGGACACCTTCAGGGACCTAGCTTGTAGAATCCATCGCAGGCGTGTCTAGGCTGATTTGGCGGTACAAGTACGACTACCAGAAAACCAGCTATAGGGAAGGTCATAATGACCGGGCTCATCAGTGTACAATTATTTTTATCTAAATTATATTTGAAAAAGTTTCTAAAAGTGTTGGTGAAACCACCGTGCGGGTGTGCGTCATGAGTTAACCCGATCTTCTGTTCTCGCGTCTGGTTGCCAATGACAGATTTAGCTATCTAGAAAGCTTACACTCAGCTAATGCCTCTTTTACCCATTAAGAAATAAGCCTTGTCACAGCCAGAGATTTTTCTAGGCCACCTCCGAGGGATTCCTAACAGAAACAAAAATGTCACTAATTGTCGTATTCATTTTTGTCCTACCTATGAAAACATACGTTTCAAGTTAAATGTTTTCATTGATTACACCACTGTGCTTACACCCCAAACCCCCCCACCCCCTGTCACTTCATAAATAATACAAATTATTATAAGTAAACTCAGTAAAATATTTAATTCAAAATGAAGATCACAATAGCTGTGCGCGTAACAACAGGGATCCGAGCGTATGGTGACACATACAGTATTCACAAACGTACTCAGGTGGGGACGGGGTGCTCAAAATGTCGCGAATAGTAATCGGAGTCTGAGTAATCGGAGTCTGGTGGCAGCATTATAAAGTGTGCATGCGGTATGAAGGGTATCTATGTCTGCGCGGGGCCGTGTGTGCGGGAGCTGTAATGACTCATTAATAAAAACTGTCTCCGGGCGTAGCTGTCGGTATGAGATGCTGTGCTCCTATACGGACCAGTTAGTTCGGTGGTGAATGGCCGATTAACCGGTGACTGGGTTCTGTGTTGTCCTTGATCATATTGCCCAGCATTTCTCAGGCACCGCTTTGGATAGATGTCCCGGAATCGTATGAGTTGAGCCTCAGTGATGTATTGCGCCTTGCAGTCAACAAGAATGTTCCCAAACTAGACCGTGATGCAACTGATCTGAAATGTGCAGCCCTGAAAGTCGCCTTCAAGCATTTTAAGTCGCCTTCACGTCATTGGTGGCTTTGTAAATTCAGGACAGGTCCTCGACTATGTGAATGCTGAAGTACTGCAATCTGTTGAGTCTCTTCCGTAGCTCCTTTGGTGTGTATTGGGCATGTTACCCTCTTCCACAAATACAAGACGATTTCCTTTTTGTTCCTGGCAACGCCATGCCAGGGTGTGCCGACTGACAGTCATGGGATAACATAGAGTAAAGCAGAGGGCTAAAAGGTCAAGAATGCAATTGAGCATGGTGAAGTCTACACCGAGTACCCTGAACTTGGTGATGAGTTCAGAGGGAGGAAAAGTCAA